AAAGCGATTTCGGACGAGTTTCCCGATTGCATCGTGCCAATGGCGCTCCTGTACGTACGGCTGCACGTATACTCACACATATAACGATGCAGCACCGCCGTTGCTTCATACCAGTCCCTTCGCTTCATATTTTCCCTAGCAAAGGAAGCAATACCAGCATCAGGTAAGGTGGTCCATTCATGGGGCGCGGCGTGGGTGCGGATTGGACCTTCGGCCGGTTCGGGTCGGTATGTTGCAGCTTGATAGGGTCTTATCAGGGTACCTTCCTTGGAAAAGACCCTACGCAGCTCCTGCTTAGTGTCACGGAATTCTGTCCTGCCAGGCGTATTAATCCTAGTGGTCTTGGGGATTCATTCTACCAACTACCTTCAATTTACGCAGTCAGCTTCTTGACTCAAATCAGAGCTACGGTACTTGACCAGCTATCCCAGCTAACGCTGTTCGACAAGATGAGGGAGAGGGGGGATATTTTCCTCTTTCGCTACTTCTTTTCACTAGCCCATGTTAATTGACAGGTCTTACTTTGGTTAGACCTGTAAACTCTTGTGAAGCTAGTAAAGAGAACAAGTGAGCCGCTTTGATGACAGGTATTATCAGGTCTGCACAAGGTGGCTATACTTAGCGCAATTTGGTGCCCCACCAAGTCTAACGCGTCCTTCAGCTTGTCAACGGGGCATAAACTGATAAAATGGGCAGCTTTCCTGGAGAGTATCTTTTCCTGTCCTTACTGGCTGTTACTGTTTATTTTTATATTAAACTATGACAGCAAATAGTGCACATAACTTTATTCTGGCCCAGTTCGGCAACGTGAAGGGGCATTTCGCACTATTGATACTTCCCATCGACGTGTCGACCCTCTAGACAGCCTCTTCTCGAGTTAACAGGTTTTACCATGATGGCTTGACGAGCTTGCTCCAGCTCCACAAGAGTTCACAAGTGTCACCAGAGGAACTAGTGAAGCAACGCCCTCCCCTCCCCCCTCTTCGCCGAACGCCCTTAATTCATTCACTTTTGTATCCTAGAAGTCGAATCTTAGGAGAGTCGAGGTGGTGTACTAGCACGAGGCACTGCTACGGGTACGGAATCCGCAAGTCAATTCACAGAGCTCCCACCTTGGTCAACCCACCCTTCGGTTCCGCTGTGGTCGTGAGCCCGGTGCTAAACCTGTCTCGAACTTGAGAATAAAACCACCTAAGTGTACATAGGGTAGCCTCCGCAGGTACTGGATGGGTCAAATGGCATCCACATGCCGTTCCCGAAGTTTCTAATTTTTCTAGCTTACCTGAAGCCTGAACAAGAGCCCGGAAGGTGTACTAATTACAGGAAATATATGTCAAGAAGTGTGGGCGGCAGCGATTTTCCTTGTGTCTCATCCGATTTGCCGCATGAGATTGAGCAATGGATTATTCATTGCACGCCTGCAGGAACATGGCAAAAACAATCCACCTTTCAGATCTAATTCTTCACGTTAGGCCAACACTGAGGGATAATCAGCAAGCACAGGACGTATTAGTCATGGTCAAAACTTACTTACGTCATGCCATTGGGG